CATTGGTACGGCGGGTGCAACAACCCGGGAAGGCCGGGGGAGTTTTGTCCTAGCGAGGTGGCAGCTGTTTCAGAGACACTGCCAGGCAGCAGCCTCTGCTTCCAGTGCAAATATCAAATGCCTTTTCTCAGCCTCTGCTAGAAGAAGGACCACATGTGTGCAAAAGTTAAAGCTCCCTTCCCCAGCCCACAGCCCACGCGCTTGGGAGACAATTGCAGGGGTTCAAACAAACGTGTCAACTCACTCATCCGTGTCTTTTTTGCTCTCCTCAATGAATGCAATAGACTCAGATCTAAGGCGGTTAGTCACTTCGTACGTACGCAGGGTGACTCCAAAAATATCCTCGTGGTACCGGCTGTCATCCTGAAACAGAGGACGGGAATGGGGCAGTGGGGAAAAAAGAATATTTACAAACAGTCGGTGTTGCTGCAGCACCAGGAGGCTCTTGTGTTGTGGGTAGGTACCAGATACACAGCAAATGTCCTGGGGCCTGTCACAAGAGCTGGTGGGACAAGCAGGGCAGAGGGGCAGGAACAAGCAGGGAGCTGAAATGACCTTCCCAAGGTCACACTGTGGGGCAGTGGTGGAGCTGCTTGGTGCATTAGTTCTTCTCAACTGCTGGCAACCCAGGGACTGCCTGGCCATCAGGGGGACGACTAGCCCAAGGCCAGCCTGTGCTTCCAAACTGACTAAAAATGTGGCTCTGGGCTCCCTCGGCTGCTGGATGGAGTGTGGGGACATGGTTTTGAAGGCATAGTCCCATAGGAATTGGACTCCTGGGGAGAAGCAGACCCATTCAAACATCTGTCCTCGGGCCTCTGTCCCAAACTGAGCTCATTTATGCTTCAGCTGCAACGTCTGCAGCAATGTGTTTGCCCGGGAGCAACACCCAGCCAGCCACACGGAGGAGATTAGGGGAGGGGGACCCACAAACTGCCCTGTTAGATTGCTGCGGTGATGGAGGGGTAGTTGGGACTTAGCAAGGTGAACAAGCCCTGCCTGGGCTACCAAGGGTGCCCGAAAGAGCTTGTACCAGTGCTCAGCACAGCAGCAGGCTCATCGCAGGAGCCCAGCGCAGGCTGAGGGGGCTGCAGCCTGGACTAAAGCTCCTGCCAAGCAAGGTGACTTCCACTGCACCCCCAAAACTTTGGAAGATCATGCTCCCAACCTTGCCTGGGTGCAGGCAGCATGGGTGGGAGCTGCAATCCCCCCCCCCAGCACCCGCCCCT